GGGGAAAGGGCGCGGCCGCTCGCTGCCGCGGCTGAGGGAACGGTTGTTGCCCGTGGCCGCATTGTTAGTCAAAACTCACGTGTTGAAATTAGTCTTTTAACGTCGACTTCTTATTAATAATTGGACGTGGCAGTAAAGATGCCGTAAATGTTCTCCCATGGAGCACGGGATTGCCGTTTACTTGGGCTTTTAGCCACTGAAGGTGCCACTGTTGAAAACGAGACTGCGTTATTCAATGTGTGGAAAAAAGTGTGAAGGCACGTGAAAAAGAACATGAATGTATGTGTAACAGCCTCCTCGAAGTAAAACTGCATTTAATCAATTCAGGTTACAGTGGTTAAAAACAATAAAATAAGCAAGTTTCTTATAGATGTGGTTCTTCTCCCATCACGTCTTGATTTTTTCCTCACAAACTCTCAACACCGGTGAAACAGCTTCCTTTGACTAGACCCTCCTGCTGACAGTTCTGCTAATTAGAATAATACCAAATCAGTAACCAGAGATGATACTTTTAAAATACACAGTTAAACACATTTTCCAGAAAACTCCCTAGCTTTCAAAGATTTTTGAAAACAATTTGCAGCTCAAACGATGCCTGTTCAAAATTACTATAATTAGTTATACAGAGGAAAAAAAGCTTGCCTTTTCAAGACTGACTGATACGAGTTTCATTGTTTTCCTGTGGTCTTTTAACCCTATTGTCTTTCACCAAGTAAAGGTAAAACACTGAGGCATTGTCTTGCATTCACAAATTGCAACTGATATAAGTTAACTGTCATATGTAACAGGATCTACTGTAAACAGGACAAGGGCTGTAGTTTGCTTTATGACTTAGAATGATCATAAAATGTCTACATCACCAAAAGAGGCAGCCTTACCCCGTTTCCCCAATACCAGTCCAACCCAGAACTAGGCACTTGTTCAAGGCCAAATGGGGGTAGTTTTGTCCTCTCCACGTCAGTGAAAATACGGTTTCCATTCCCGGCACTGCTGTTGTGTGGGACAAGTCACTCTGCCTTTTCATGTTTCCCCCTTCCCATTTCATAAATGGGAATAGTCATATAAGCCTGTTTCTTGAAGTATTCACAGTCATTAAAGAACTGCAGAGCTGATAAGGTGTGTTTTTATTATTTTGCAAGTCATTCTTTACAAGGTGATACTAAAAGCATACAGCCAATTCAAAGAGGCACTTTGGCTCCGATTCAGTTTTTGTTGAGGCAAGCTGCCAAACATGCCTCAGTACAAGCTACACTGGACTGCACCAGTATCATGGAAAACGGCTTATTTGACATTGTTAATAGTATACTTAACATTACAGGCTCTATAAGGTGATTTCAAATTCTGCATTGATCCTAAAATCAGCAGAAGTAAACCAAACAGAAATGCCTGAAATTTTCTCCTCACAAGCGTAAGAATTTCCCTAATCCAAACCACAATTTCCATTCCAGCTGAAAAGAAATTTTGTATTTCATATAAGAGGCTACTATGAGGAGAACTGAGCTGCAAGGAGGTGTATTTTTATGTGGCACCTGATACGCAAGATGAACAGAGGTGATCTACTGATGAAAGTCTTCAAATCAGACCGATCACGCGCCAGGGCACATACTTTTCTAAAACAGACACACAAAAGGAAACCGATGAAAATGAAAGTGTGAGAAATTACTGCCTGCTTTCTTAGCGTGATGTCTTATTTCTTGTTTGCTACAGCATTGCCTAGCTGATCTAACAGGTCACATATCCAAGCAAAATTGAGCTCTTGATGTTAATATAAGCCTTTCAAAACTGTGTTTCCAAACCCATTTCCTCCATCCATTTCTCACAGGACTAGCAATACTCCTTAGCCTTATGTCCCCTGCCCTCCTCCCACAGTTTCTCCCCACCTCTGTGTACGTCCTGCCATGGCAGGACAACGTCCCTGAAATGCATCCTATTGAACAACATAGACATTCAGTCTCCCTGCAGGCCAGTTACACCTCCGGACATTACTGAGTACGTTCAGTCACGGTGTATGTACAATCTGGAACATCCTTGCAAACATGATAACAGCGCACGAAGATAGTTGCCTGAAAGAAAAAAAAGCCCGTGTCTAAAAAAGAAGGGTAGCTCTTTTCTTTTCAAACTTGTTGAAAGGTGAGTCACACTGATCTAGCAATGAGTCAGGCTGTAGCAGACAGAGAGTTCTCCCCCTCCGTCTGAATACTGCGCCCTAATCACAAGCCCCGACGTCATTTCAGTAGCAATGGATCAGATCTTACATGCTGCAGCTGAAAACCTTGGTAGCCTATTTAGTATCCCATGTATAGGTTTGCATCAGTAGTTCATTCACACTGCACAGCACCACGGAGCGGTAGAAACTACAGCTTTACAAACAGAGCTTAGGCTTGTGCTTTCCACTGCTCTGTTTATACCCATTTGTACATTGTCCTTTCTGTCACTGTAGGATTGCCTTTCCAGCTCCTCCCAACTGGAGGACATTAGCTTAAAAACTGTGAACAGATGAAAGCAAATGGGAGGAATTAGTCTTGAAAGGGTTCTACTGCTCTAGCTTAGATAGAGACAGGCTCAAGGCCACTGCAAAATGAGTTTAGGTTGTAACAGGCCTGTTCAAGAAAGATGAAGCAACACTCCTTAGTTATAGTCAGAACTTAGGGTTAGGAAAGTGCTGGCCCTAATATTTGTGTGCAACATTACATGTTTTTACGTTTCAGTAATTCAAAACAGCTACAACTGTGATAAAAATAACCTGGTGGTTCTTCCTTGCTGTTCACTTTGAATTTACAATCCAGCTTTGAAATCCACCAAGAGAGATCCAAAAACTGGAGTACATCAATTACTGATATTCTGAACAACCTTCTCAATGAGCACCAAACAATTTCAAGACACTGACAATTGAGAATGCCATTCATTCTATAGGTCCTACTGATGCACCCAGAGGTGTCACTTATTTACGTACAATCACTGTAAATAACCACTTTAGAACTCAGTAAGTCCATTTTGCAGACTGCTGAATAGGAAACAATAGAGATCTACCTGAGGTTGGAAATGCCAGGATGAAACTGCAAGCTGTTGAATGCTATGCTTCTAGCTGAACTGTATTTCTTCCTTTCTTACCACATTTCTTCCTCTTTTACACAAGAATTAGAAAAGGATAATTTCAAGTTCTCTTTTTATCCCCCACCAAATGACAGAATGATGCCAAGATTTACAAACACAAGACACCTGTGTGAATTTACTTTTGCTTCAGAAAGCTTTCCTTCTAAACGTTGTTACACTATTATGAGGAGAGAAGAAAATGGGGGCCTGCATCTTGAACAGTGCGGATTCTGAACTCAGTGAAATCTGTTCTTGTAGATGTACAAAAGATGCTACAATAGCGTAATGTGTTTCTTTCCTTCAGAGAACTGATACACTGCAAGTTTACATTTTCATTATGTATTGATTTTAATACATACTTTTCCCATCATTTACACAAAAATAAATATAAAATTTGAGAAACCATTATTGATGTTATACAGCTAAATAAAGAAAGAATTTATTCTTGCTTACAGAAAGTGAGTGTCTGTAATACTGGTTACTATAATAACTAATTTTCCTTTCAGGACGCAGTTCTGTCAGTCAAGCGATTGAGAAATTGGTGGGAACTGCGTCTTTACAATTGAGGACAGATTCTGGCATAGGACAGATTCTGGCATACCAGTGATTTTAAAAGAAAACTGGACTTGGTTTGAATACCACACTTCTGAAAAAATCTTCAATTTTTTTTGTTTGCGATAATTTACTGATTAACTAAAGTACGACTCTGTATCTTCTATAAATAGAACATCATTATCAAGATACTCCAAAATTATATTTCCACCATTGTACAATGGATAGTCTTTATCAGATAGCCATGTTTCCAATGTGTGTTCAAATGGCAAGGCTTCTCCAGAGGCAGTATGGCATAATCTCAATTTCTGTAAGACAAACAGGCAAATCTTGATGTTAATTTCTGTGCTATCTGAGATGCAAGAAGTTGGGTGGGGGAAGGACTAAAGGGTAAAAAAAAAAAAAATCAAAACCCAACAACCTGGAAAATTTTTGTTATTAGTACTGAATTACCTGGGATGTTGATTTGTTGTTGTCATTTTTAAGGCTTGCTAAAGCAGCTGCAAAATCTACTACTTTGCCAATACTCCACTTACTGCAAAAGAACATGGGCTTGCTTTTCTCTTTGCTCCCCTTTGGTAAAAATACTTGAAAGTAAATTCTTTCTGTCTAGAAAAACATGAAAAAGAAACAAAAAAGCTATTCAAAGAAGAAACACATAATTCCAGTCATACACATCTAATAGTTTTTCAGTAAAAAATTTAAACTTTGACACAAAAATTACCGACTGAAACTTGTTCTACTCCATCAGGACCAAGGCCCCATTTTACTGCAGAATATAAATGACTGAGATCATCAAGTCCAATCCCCTCTGGCTGCAGGCACATACATGATGGACAGTAAGTTCAGAAAGGTGGAGTGAACATCTTTCCCCAGAGTCCCACAGCTGGACTGTTACAGACAGACATGAAAAGGTGTCTGCCCTGGGATTACTAGACAATAAGGACTGCTCTGGGGAGAAAAAGGTGAGTTTAAACAAGCCGTGCTGGCTTTTGGCAGCAGTATAATGTCTCAAATTGGAACGCAAAGGCACTTAAACCAGAACAATTCACCGTACTAGAAATGCCTGTTTCACAAACCAGCATTCCGGTCATGGCCAGCTAATCCTTCATCCTGTTCTTCCTCCTTTTATGTACTAAACAC